TCATGTGTTTTAATTCATCAGATGAAACAAAATTTGAATATAAGACCTCATATTTCGCCGATGAGAGACAGGTCTTTATTTCATTAATATGCCACATATATTGATTTTTTATATGTTAAATTTAATAATTTGATAATCTTAGAATAACATTAATTTCTTAAATATATCTTTACCAAATTTATTTTTCCTTTAATAAGATAGTTAGTATTCAAAGATATGTATCAAAATGCTTTTTATTACTCACAATCTCAATTTTGAACTTGTTTATTTGTATATTAGAAAAATTGCAAAAATGTATGATTATTGAAATCTTTCACTGTACATTGTGTATACTGTTTCGTGTTATATAGTTCGCCCAAGGGCTCGGGAAGGGGAAATGGTCACCTAATTAATGCATATGTTTAACTGGCATTTTCTCTTCACTGTTATTTTTCCTTGCTTCCCATTGTGTATTTATCTGATAATACAGATATTGGTGATTATTCACAAGAGAAATTTACGTATTACGTAATGTTCAGACTAAATGTCCTCAGCGCTGAATTATCTTTCCTAAATTTTAATACATTTTATTATTTTAATTTAAATTTGGCTTTGGATAGGATGGGGTTGAGAGGTAGGGAAGTCAATTTTTTTCATTTACGACCAATCGAATTTCTGACACGAAACATAAACTTAATTCGATACATACATACACTTTCTCAATGATGATTAAATAATGGGATGAAAATATGACATATTCGAATCTATGGTCTATCGAGTTCTTTTAAAGATTTCTATTCTAAGTTTAGTAATATAATACATCTTTTTCATTATGAAGAATAAAAAAAGAGAAAAAGCTTGATCCTGAACTCACAAAATGTCCTGAGTCGCAGTAGGTGCTGGATTGATTGATTGGTTGTATATTGTTTAACGTCCCTCTCCAGAATTTTTCCAGTAGGTGCTGGAACGAAATATATCGCTCGATTCCTGCTCATTGGCCCTGAGTGCCGAGTAAAGGTCAAAATGTGTAGCCCTTCACCGGTAAGTGGTGGCACCTCCATACGAGTAAAACATTCTCAAGAGGGGGCTTAAACACCATACAATTCATCAATAAATCAATCAATTTGTTAAATATTTTTTACCTTTGTTTTTTGCCTTAGAGTTTGACCACTTCAAAACCTTGGCCTTGACTTTTGAAAAGTTAGTACTAAGTCTTTAAAGTTTCACGAGAGTATTTCTTGTGAAAAGACCTTTCTCTTGATGCCATCAATATTGATCTTTTTACCTTTACCTTGGAGTTTGATTTGCATTTAAGAAACTTCAACCTTTGCCATAAGCTACCAGATGGAGGCATCAGTGTTTCAAAACACATCCTGTTTACCTTGTTGATTGTTGTGTGAGATTTAAAACTAGGTGACAAGACATAATACAATGGTAGATTTTCATGTAACATAACTCCAATGCAGTAAAAAGCCAATTATTTCTTATTTATGTATTTTGAATGATTACTTTTATAATTACTTTTGAATGGTTGTCACAGGACATATTTTTCCTACGCAACATAAACAGATCTGTGTTACTAGGAAGTAGCTTTAAAGCGGTCTTCATAAAAGAATTCTATAAAACAGTCTTTACAACACATTTATATGATTAAAGATTTAAAAAAAGCATTTAAGGGGTAATACAATCAGTTTAACATTTAAAGCACTTAAAAGACTTTTTAATACAAATGACATATTCCAAGGCCAGTGGTGATCGATATGTTTTGTCACAATATATTTGTATTACATTTTCTCAAATAGCCGACACTGACATCCTTTATTTTATTCTTTGTTGTCACGTATTCAGTTGAAATACGGTTATGTCATATCAAAATATTTATATCATTTGACAAATTTAGAATTTAAGTAAGTGAACCGGATTTCTCAAAATATAAGCACAATAGAACAATCTTTTCGTGAATCAAATTGGGTACATGTTTGTAGCTATGTTTTGGATACTGATTGTCAATTATCGATTTGAATACTGTAGATAAATATTTAATTTTCCTTCCATTGTATAATTATCAAAGAATAACAATAAATAACTTTACTTTATTTTGAAGGCTACATGTACGATCTCAGAATGAAACATATGGAGATATCGAATTGTATTCAAGATCAAAAGTCCACAAAAGGATACAAAATAGATTTATGATTGATTTTATATTGTTTAAGGCCGAGTCGGCAATATTTCAGTCATATTTCGGCGTGATACAAAATTGAAGCAGACCAAAGACGGACCTCGAAAACATCAGAGGTGGTGTCAGGTGCCATGAAGGAATGAACATCCTCTGCCGTGACACCTGCCGTGTTATCCTTGTCATGATCGGAGAATGACGGAAAGATCTGTCATAATGGTAATTTGAAAATATAAATCTTACATCCATTATTTTTAACCTGTAAATTCTGTGGCCTGCCCCATTCATTCGACTGTTGTTGTAACAAGATTTTTTATTTTTTTTTACCCATTTTTTTTTTACAAAACATAAATATACTTCTCCATGTGCTCATCACAACTACAATTTGGGGGTATTGTGTTGTCTTTCTTGATTCCTCTATACTTTTAACCTATGGAAACAGGAGCACAAAGAGTTTTTATCGTGATAATTTTCCTTTTTCTACGAATGCTTTTATTATCAAATAAAGGCATCCATCACTTGTATGTTCATATTGTTTCGTCTTTCTGTAAGCATATGCAATATTACGATCATTCTAACTCATATATGTGAAAAAATTCCATAAGACATTCTTTTTTAGTTTTTTTTTATTTAAAACATTTATGAATCAAGTACAAATGCATGTGTATCCATTTCCTTTGAAAACCCAACTTGGAGTCTTTTCTGAATTCGTCAGTTTTATATTATTATTATTATTTGTCTCACATTTATGGTAATTCTTTTCTTCACTTATGCAGAAATATACCTTCATCGCCAGCATAAAGGGATTTAATCACTACGCTGATTCGATACCCATATGTATGCTCTTTCTAAAACGAAATAAATTCTTGACAAACAAGTTGATGAAACAAAAATGCTAGCAGTTTCGTTTAAAGTCAATGATTGTCAGCAAATACGGTTTATCATTGAGTCAAGTGCTGACTGACTGACAGTTTTTCATACTAATTGTAAGGCCATGATTTTCCCGTTAATTCAGGATCATGACAAAAACATACGGCGGGGATAACTGGTCGGCACTGGATGCCACTTCCATGGCACCTGGCCCCAGGATCATGAAGCAGACTTAGACTTAAGTCAAAATTTCTATCATCTATAAAATCTTAAAAAACTTGTTAAAGGAAACTCTTTATTTGCATATGACAGCAGATTGATATTACAAAATTGGAAAGCATTTTTATTTTGGGCTGCCTAAACTCTAAAAAAAAAATCAGCATCTTAGACATTTTTTGACTTAAGCTAAGATGTTTCATGATCCCGGGGCCTGATCCCACCTCTGATGTTTTGGAGATTTATGGAAAGGTATTTGCCCTGCTCCTATTTTGTATTGTTTTATGGACTTTTGAACTTAAATGCTCTACGCTATCTTTTTCTTCTTCGTCTTTTTTGTAAATTATTACTATAGAATTTGCCAAGGTATCAAACTGAATAATTATGATCATTTTATTTTTTTATACGGCGTCCGACACATTTATTTGAAGATATTTCCTTTGAAGACTCATTTAAGTTCGTTCTTATTTAAGTAACACAATATCCAATACGATGTTACAGGTATGTACACTGTAAATCCAAATGAAAACGTTATCAAACTCGTATGATTCATCTCCAAATGAAAGAGCAGAACATATAACATTGATGAATAACATTTTTAAAAAAGTTATAAAGGACAAGGTAGGTAACGGCTGAATATGCAGCTGACCCCTTAGTTGATGTAAAAATCAGAACAATGCGTGGTAAAATTGACATTCTTTGAACTTAAGAACTTGAAATAATACTTGTTCTAATACCAGCACTAATTTGGCTTCAAAACATATGTGGAAGCCACTGTAGGGTCAGAAATATTTTACTTTTGAATAAATTCCTAATTTCCGGTGGAATTTCATCATATTTGAAATACTTTACTCTTCGATAAGAGAGAGCACAAGCTTGCCTTTCTGATATTTTTTCACAAATAGTGCATTTGATACTAGTGTTTATAATACATCAATTTGGTAAATGGGTAAGCTTCTGCTCTATGTGCTGTAAAAATTGAGGGAAATTTGCATCAAAATGAGAAAAATCGAAAATTGACCTATTCCGTTTTACTTTAATTTGACATTAATTGTAAACTGAAAAAAATAAGTTCAAGCATCTAAACCAATTCTGGCCTTTTAGGCAATATTTATTTTCGATTTAAATTATTCATATGACAAGAAAGGTTGATGATTGCTAGTTAATTTTTATTAGTGAAATATACAGAGGTAACTTAATACGATTCACCGTAAAAGGACATACAGCAAACAGTTGGAATTTTTGCAAACAATATATAAATATCTAAATTTTAGCACAGGCACTTGCGGAGTATGGACACCCCTTTTCATTTTAAATTTTTTTTTAATCTGGGTTCGAGTTACCTTTTTCCTATTTTCTTTTCTAATATGCACTATATGTTATCAATAATGTAACTCTTATGTCTCTACAAGCTGTTTCTAAATACTAGTGTATCGTTTTAGACTGATACATAATGTATCAGCCAAATAATAAAATTTTAAAAACAGGTTTTTAGGTCGAATCTCGACCGCGACTGACCTAAGTCGAAAAAAAAAATACGCTGGGAACTTGATGTGAAAGTTGCAGGTCTTTCGGATTAGACCTCATAAACCGAGGCCCCTTGACTCGGCAAGTGTTGGCACGATGAAGATCCTTTACTGCTCAATGGCCCTGAGTGCCAAGTAAAGGTAAAAATTTGAAGCCCTTTACTGGTATATGATGACGTCTCTATATGAGTAAAAATTCTCGAAGGGGACGTAAAACAACATACAATCAATCAATAAATCTTGAAAATATACATAGGAATAGGGGATTTACCGTTTCTTTTTGAATATTTATTTAGCCAATAAAGAAGAGGTATTTAAACCCTTAGTAAAAAAGTCAGGCCATAGTGTTTAAAGTAAAATGCAGCGAAGACAAATCAAGGATTTAGAATAAACTGAAATGGTAAGATTAGCCATTTTATTTTCCAACACTGACCATCATATCTTTATCTTGCACTGATCATAATATTTTCATGTCGCATCGATCGAAGGAGGGTGGACGTATAGTACTAATTAATATGATAGATTAAACTTTGTCATAAAAATTAGCATTTTTAATAATAAAAATCACCAAATGTAGTATTCGATAATTTGAAGACGGGTTAGTACGGGTGATATTATATTTCGCATGAGATAGCCGCTTTTGTAATTTTTGTTCATACATTTTATGTTTTTCTTTCTTTGTTTGTTGTTTGACGTCCCTCTTGAGAATTTTTCACTCATATGAAGACACCACCACTTTCTCGTTGAAGAATTTTAGACACATACTAGGCGTTTAGGGTCATTGAGCAGTAAGGGATATTTTCTTGCACGAGGCCCCGTCCGGTGTTTCATCCTTTATAATTTTGTTGCATATTTATGTCAACCCGAACGAATTCGCGGGTGCGACATATTGCATTTGTACGCATGTTTTTGTTATCCAGGTTGTTTCACAGAGTTGACTGTGACAATCTTTCTGAAACTTTCTTTCAAGGACGATCACTGGTTGTAGCTTCGTTGTGTTGGCATTCAGTTTCAAAATGGCTACCGTTGCCAAAGAAACGTGTGAAAAATAAAGAATTTTATCCGTTATGTTCTCTCTTGTCATCATGAAACTTTCTTATATTAATCATTAGTAAATGTAGTTGAGTGATTTGCATTTAAAATTTTCAAACAATTTATTGTTGCCTTGGTAACCAGGAGAAAGTAAAATTTCATTAATTTTGGTTTTTTAAATCAAAGAACTGAAAGGACTGATACGAGTTGATAGTCGTCCAAGCTTAACTAATGGGTATTGTGTCAGTGGTGAAAAAAATAAAAATATTGTCCAGTTCGGGGCGATATACGCTATTGCTTGCAATAGCAGACTTTTTAGTTTAATTTTTATTTTTATATTATTTTTTAAACTTACCAAAATGTTTAATAGGCTTTTCTTGATTTTCAATTTAAGGCATCAACAGATTCAGGAGTTTCTTCAAATCCACTGACATACATTTTAGACGGTAAGTTCATATTGATGAAAAGTATCTTATAACCTCGATCTTAATGTATTGTTTATCTCCCAACGGAAATGATTACTTAATAATATTATTCTGAAGGGTTGGTAAGAAAATGTCTAAAAATTAAACAAAACTCAATCAATACAAAAATTGTGTATTTTATTGAATGAATATCAGATTCTGTCTGCCCATGCCTAAATGGCACAGAACTTTGGGGCAGTCGCTAAAAAAAAGTGTCGGATTTCCATGTGAGATATTAATCTTCCTTTTCTTTTGTCTGCTTTTGTTGATTTTTCCTTTCTTTAAATCGATTGGAATATGTGCGCATTTATTAAGCAGAACCCTTTTCTGCCAAAGTTTAATGAATACGCAAATACAAAAAAAAAGCTTTTGAAATCTGAAATCCTGTTACATGTTTCATATTCTTAATCATCAGAGAATTATGTTAAACACTTGCTTTCAAAATTCGAGACCTTTTTGAGTTAAACGGAATGAACACAGATTTGGAGCTATGTATCTTTGATGACAGATAAAATACGTCTTATTTTTTAGGATCCAAATCTACCCTTTTATTTTATGATTAATACTCCTGTGGTCTAACACAGAAAGTCAGATTCATCGTATTTTGGTCATGTCACATTTTTTTCTAGAACTGATCTGAGAAGAATATTATAAATTGTTATATCAATTATAATATAAATATCATTCTATATATTTATTACTTATGAAAAGTCCAACAAAAAAACTGTTTATTACATCGGTCTAACAATATCACTATTGACCGGTCTTACATAAGAATTGTTAGACCGCAACGTCACTCGTCTGTTATGTCACAAGTACTGAGTAATTAATCATCGTTCAATATCGGCGGCGCGAAAATAGCCGAAGTTAAGAGTTACAAGAGTTGTTGCTAACAGCAAGGTAAGGAAGAAGGGAAGAGTATGTTTTGTGATAAATAATTTTTGTGATACAATAGATATATAATTGATTTGTTCTGTTTTATATTAACTGAAGAAGCCATATTTTTCCATATAAAATAATTGATAATATAGCGTGTATTGATTAAATTGATCAATCTTAAGTGAGAAGTGAAGGGTATAACAAAACAGTTATAGACTGGAATTTGGGCATCATATGTTTTGTTGAACCTGAAGGTGAAAATATTGCCTGGGCCGCAGGCCAAGGGCAACATTTTAACCTTCAGGTCCAACAAATCATATGTTGCCCTCATACCCAGTCAATAATTGTATAATATATATCCATCAAGTTCTCACAATCGGCAATTCTTTCAATTTAGATTTGTTTTGAAGTACTTGCAATTACGGTAAAAATACCATGTTACTACTGCTGTTGTTGCTGTTGCTGATGATGACAGTCTTCATGACATCATCATCATCATCACCACCATGTTAATGAATGCTAATGAAACCATTTTTTCACTTCACGTCTCTCGAAATTGCAAATAAAATAAGATAACTTTGTAATTTTCTTGGATATCTTTCAAACTGGAAATAATTATAATTAAGGTCTTCCGTTTCCAACGGAAGACCTTCTACTGATTCTGTTGGTAAATATTATTATTCTTTTTTTTTTCTTCTGCTTCCTAGACCGCAACTTTGAGGCCTCATATCTCACTCATTTCTCAACGGATTTCGCTCAAATTTTCACAGATTATAAACGTTTGTAAACTCTATCAGAATGTTGATTAAATTTCAAAAAGTCACTTCCGGTTTTGAGTTATTTCCCTTTAAACGAAAAATTATAGGCTTTCGTTTCCAGACAAAGGCTCAGAGACGGCTGAAGCTGGAGCAGACATTCTACTGATTTTTATATAATAGTGTTGCATTATGCATGTACTATGCCTAAATAGTAGGCCGGGTTTGACACATGGTGCACGAGCCGGAGGCGAGTGCACTATGTGTCAAACCCTGCCTACTATTTAGGCATAGTACATGCATAATGCAACACTATTGTTGTTATTATGCTGACTGTTGTAATTATTTATGCGGCAATGTATTTGACTTTTTCCTGAAAATATCGGTGCTTACACATCGCACTTGCAAGAACTTATTCAAAATATTTATGCTAAAATTGTTTGCATGCTTAGTTATTTTGGTTACTAGTATTTTCTCTAAATAAGTAGGAATTTTCTGTCCCAAAGCAACTCATCTTTATTTTCTGTTTTGTTAGTAAGCCTTAGGGTTGCAGACGTCGATTCTCATTGATAATTTTCTTTTACATCCTTTAATCAAGCGTCATACTTCAATCAAGCGTCATATAAAAAAGCGTTTTAATGACCCTATAAAATCAGTTCATTTAACGATCTGTATGTAATTAGTTTGAAAGTTTGTTGTACACATTAATCTAAAGTTCCTTAGAATAATTTAACTGTTTTCAATTAATATTTGTCTATTTTCTCCTTCTTGTGTCAATTGTATAAATTAAGTTTATATATTTAATAAAATTGTACCAATCAGTGATCGTCTCTATGGCGTAATCGATAAGGCATCGGACTGACAATCTCATGGTCGTGAGTTCGATCCCCGGCATGTGCATGGAAGAATTTTATTCAGTAAATAAAGCCGTGCACTATTTCAACATAGTATGTTTACGCTATATAAATCCTTAGGCCACTATGTGAGAATAGAAGGGTATGGGTTATATAGAGACAAACTGACAGGAAGCATAATAATAGATAATAGAAGGATTGAAGTTGTGCACATCGGTTTTTATTTTTTCGATTTCTCTATTCAAGATGGCGCTTTATAGGGGTCGAAAATTAGAACGCTTAAAAGAACCAAAAATTACACATATTTTGCTTCTTATCTTCTAAACTAAAAAGATTTTGTTAAAATATATAGAACATAATTTGTGCAAAATTAGAAGATCTTTCAAATGATATGTTGGAAAAAGAGCTGACTCCTAAATTAAGGGATCTAGAGGGGCCAAAAGTTTTTTTTTCCATATATCTCAAAGAGTATTGAGAATTTGTTATACATCAAAGAAGCAAAGTTGTTGAAAATGTCAAGCTTAATCTGAAGGAGTCATCAAAATACGTCCAGCGTCGTCACTTCCTGCCAACCGGAAGAAGTTGGAAAACGCGTATTTTTGCCGTTTTTGACAAGTTTTTGGGCAACAAATGTCTCTGGGAGCTTAAAAATTACTTTTTCGTGCGTCGTCGTTACTTCCGGTCAAACCGGAAGTAGCAAAAATGGCTTATTTTTGCATTAAATTTCATACATTTACATTGGTAGGTAACTTTCATGAAGCAAGATTTCAGGAAGCTAAGTTAACCTGAAAAAATGTCATCTTTTTAACATGGATAGCTGTCGAAGAGATGAGAAATACTTCTATCCTCTTGCGCCTTAGTGTCATATTAATGTACTGAAAATGCAGAAATAACATAAACTGCACAGTTTCTGTATGACTGCAAGGCACAACTATGCTTTAAAATCAGGGATGGGGTCAATTACATAGGAAAGTAATTAACTAAATTACAATTACTTTCCCAAAAACTTCAATTAAATTACCATTACCATTACATGAATTTTGAAATGTAATTAATTAAATTACAATTACTTTGCAAATGTAATTAATTAAATTACAAATTACATTCAAGAATACACCTATAAAAGTAAATAGTCATGTATATTCCTTTACATTTATAACAGTTTATTTTACAACATTTTTTACAATAATATTATTAAAAGCTTCATACATTTTTCAAATATTGTGTCCCCTAACCTAATATATCTTCGATTAATTTTAAGATTTTCATGCCATGCTGAAGATTCTTTCCACTGGAGTATTTGTGAGAAAAATGCATACATGTAGATACTGACTAGTAGAAAGTTTACAGATGGTTTTACCTTAGTTCATGTGTTTAAATTTTGGAATCAATTTTACTTTCCCATAAACAAGTTATTTTATGCTAAATGTACTTTTGATGCTTTTATTTGCCTTTATATTTCCTTATTTCATCATCATCATAGGATCACCTCAAAATGTGGGTATTTGACTTATTCTGTGCCAAACTACAATTTCAAGTCAAAGAGTATGACTATAAAAACACCAACAGACAAAGTCAAAGGTGTGAAAAATGTTTATTTAGGAATAAGTATTTGACCCCAAGACACTAATTAGCACCTGTTAATAACTTCCAACACAAGCTAAAGATATGGCCAACAAAAGGATTAGAAGCCATTGGACTTCTTATTCTCATATGGATTAATTAATTAAAAAATCAAAATATGAATTTTATTTGTAAACTTTACAAAGATTAACTTGATTTAAAAGGGTTTTTTTAAATGAAAAGGGGCATTGTATTTAAACAACAATTGACATAAAAAGGGAAGTTCTTTTCAAGAAATTTTACTATTAAGATGTTTGGTCCAAAATGTATAAGTTATTAATCTTTCATAAATAATGTTTATGAAATTGAAGGAGAGGAGACTATTTTCCATTTATTTAAAACCAGTGTAATTGAATGTAATTGAAAAGTAATTGTGAATTACATGCCTTTTTGCAAAGTAATTAATTAAATTACCATTACTTGTAATTGAAAATTTGGTCAATTACACATTACTTTCAATTACATCAAAATTTGTAATTAATTACAGTCAATTACCATTACACATTACCATTACCTCATCCCTGTTTAAAATGAATGGATACAAAGACGGTTGTATTTGAAGAGAAACCATGAAACAACCATTTGAAAACTCGCATAATATATCATCCAAGTGCATATAAAAACCCTACCAATTATTATGTGTGAATTATGTTTAAAGTAATAAAATATAATCAAAATTAAGTTATAAATCATTTTCAAAATTTATTTTGCTGTCACGTTACACAATTTCGCATTATAACAATAAGACCTTAATTTCTGCGAATAACTATGTGAGTTTAAAAAGTGCGTTGAACTGTATATGTATAATGTAGTTGTATAAAAATACTTTTTGATGCTTATTACACGCAAAAGCTTTAAAGAAATGAAGAACTGATATCATCCATTTTTTTTCTCAATAGAGGGATATCCACCTCCAGATTACCCAGGTGACGATGTATGTACTGAATCGTTTACTATTAATTTTAGTTAAGTGAAAAGTTTTGCATTACGTCGCAACCTATGATCCCAGCTGCGCTCAAGGTAAATAGCACAAGTCTCCTAACCGCAAGTGTTATACGACTGGAGCTTTTTCTAATCACTGATTGATTGCTCGTGCAACTATTTCCGTGTCAATGTTGATAATACTGTAAAAAAAATCGTGACGTAATGCAAAACTTCAAACGTCACTGAAATTAATGATATGTAAAGTTTATCATTGAATCTTGATTTTTTTTTCATCTTTTTATTAAAAAAAAAATAAAATTATCCGAAATATGGTGTATTTGTAATGTTTTTAAATAACTGTTTATGAAATTATTACAATAATAACAGATTGGTTTTCTAAGACAAAAAAGGAAAGTATACGTATTTTTTTTCTCCCCTCAACCTTTTAAATTTTAAATCTAATTTTAAAAATCCTTTCACACATGCTTAAAATGAACTACATTAACAGTTGATAAAAAATCTTTCCACTATAGGTTACATGGAACAAAGAAAACAAAGAAACAAAACAAAATATTCTTGTGCTTTTAGATTTGAAGCCTTTGGTAGAATATTACCTCTGTTTTTTCTTTAATTTCTATTCTTCTTTTATTTCTCTGAAAAGAAATAATGAAGAATAAAATTGAAATCGTACGGAAAATATATATTTTCTTAAATTGATATATATTACAATAAATTTTGTTTCTTAAGATTTAGATTTAAAATTGACATTTTTTTTTTTTTTTACAGATAAAGGATTCATCTTATGGCTCAAGGGGATATTTAGGTGTTGAAAAGTAAGTTGCGAAAATAATAGACGGTTTTTAAATTATGAGTGCTAGTGATATAGTAAAATTAAAACATAATATAATTTATAACAATGCAACATAGAACCTATAGTAAGTCATTATTTATTTTTTGTACGGCTCCTTGGAATCAACTCAATTTGTTTTGACAGATCAGTCCTGTTTAATGTGTCTATAACATACAATGGAAATGACATAGAAAACAAAGATGTATGTTTTAAGGAAAATAAAAAAATAATTCTGTATATTTTCCTTTTATGGGTTGTTTCTTACACAGTTATCAGTAATACGTACTATGAAAGACGAATCTCGCTTGTCTTTAAGATATTCTTTAAAGGAAATAAAGAACAATCAATAGGTTTTCTAAACAGATAGACAAATCTAAATAATTATGTTCTCTAAAAAATCTTTTAAAAAGACCAGCGTTATTAAAGCTACATTTTTGTGATTTCTACGGAGAAATAAATCCCTAAATATATTATACATGGAGGTAATGGATAGTAATTAAGTTACAGTGTATGTTACTCGGCAGCTTTTTAGACAAAATTCACGTAGAACATCTAGCTTCAAAACTATTTATTAAGATTCATATTTTATAACGTATCTTGATTAAACAATGTTAATGTTTTAACATTCATCGAAAAAAAACTTCTCAAAAAGCAACAAAGAAGCAAGATTAAAAAGGGACGATTTCTTGTGGTGGAAGGATATTTAGCAGATAATTCTGCAAATCCGCACATTTTTAAATCAAATATCTTGGAACTTAAGCCTCACATACTTTTACTCGGAAAATATTTCCGTTATTATTGATATAGGTCTTAATTTAAATTTTTAGAACAAATTTTACACTTTCCTTCAACAAACTTAGCCGAAAAATGAAGATATGTGAAATAAGTCAAGATAAAATTTACATCATATATCGCCTGAATTTAACATATTCTGATCAATATTTCAAAAATTCACTTCACTGACCCAAACTTTTTCTTGTATTCTTTTAAAGTACTCGATACTTGTGATTGATCAGCACTAAAGTCGTAAAAAGCTTGATTTAAGAAATGTTTTATAGCCTATTTTACGGAAGCCCATTAGTGCAAACCAAAAATATATAAAGAAAAAACAGAATTAATATATAAAGGAAAACCAAAAATATATAAAGGAAAACCAAAAATATATAAAGGAAAACCAAAAATATATAAAGAAAAACCAAAAATATATAAAGAAACCCAAAAATATATGAAGAAAAACGGAATTAATATATAAAGAAAAACGAAATTAATATAAAGAAAACGGAATTAATATATAAAGAAAAACGAAATTATTACATAAAGAAAAACGAAATTGTTAAAAGTAGAAAAACTTCAACTAAAATACGGAATTTATTGAGGTGCACGGTAAGGGTCTGAACCCATAAATCATTAGTGCACCGCGTCTGATAGACCTGATTTTGTTTCAACAATAAACAAGCGTGGTGTCTGCCTTTACATTCACCTTTTCCTATATCGAAAACACATCCATTATAATACATGAATGGGGAGAATTTAATCTTTGATATCTAATTGCACAACTATTTAAGAAAACATGAACTTTAAGATTCTGTTGTTTACAACATTTAACATTCAGGAATCCCTTATCCATTATTCAACTACCGCACAATATATTCATTAAAAATGTTGTAAAATAATACGTTATCGATCGGACTTGGGTTTGTTTGACATTTTAAAAAAAATTGTTTAAAGAGAACAAGTGCAAAGAGTAAAACAAGTCAAAGTGGTTACAAGTAGATTTTTATGATTGTTTACTATATTAGAAATAAAGCAAATCACCTTCAGTTGATTCTTTGATCTTATCAACGCATAATTTGAGGTGATATACTGGCTACTAAGTACTTGCTCTCACATATTATAAATGTCCATCTCTCAATTTGTGTATTTATAAGTCGGTGACAATGCACACACTTGTAAATAACAAATCCCACAAAGTAATAAAATAATTTTTCTTATAGTTTCAACAATCTAAGATTTATGGGTATACAGATTCGGACGTTAGGTTTAGTTCGTGGGAATCCAGTAATACGATACGCAAGGTCGTGACCTTCTAGCTGAGCTCTAATGGGCTTCTACAAAGCCCAATAGTGCAAACCAGAAATAAATAAAGAAAAAACGAAATTATTAAATAAAGAAAAAACGAAATTATTAAATAAAGTAAAACCTAAATTATTAAATAAAGAAAAAACGAAATTATTAAATAAAGGAAAAACGAAATTATTAAATGAAGAAAAACGAAATTATTAAATAAAGAAAAACAAAATCATTAAATAAAGAACAAGAGGCCCATGGGCCCAATCGCTCACCTGAGCACTGTGGCTAGGAAGAAGTATAGAAATTGGTTTATTATTAAAAAGTTTAAATCCAAAAGCAATCCAATGACCAATCATGGCTTTGGTATTATTTAGAACATAAATTTTAAAAGAATGTTCCTGTATATATCTATGTAAAACTTTGGTCGGCCATTGTGGTCCCGCCCTACCCCCAGGGGTCATGATTTGAACAAACTTGAATCTCCACTACCTGAGGATGCTTCCATATAAATATGAACATTTATGTCTTTGCAATTCTTGAGAAGAAGATTTTTAAAGAATTTTCCGATATATTTCTATGTAAAACTTTGGTCGGCCATTTTGGCCCCGCCCTACCCCGGGGGTCATGATTAGAACAAACTTAAATCTACACTACCTGAGGATGTTTCCACATAAGTTTCATCTTTCCTGACACAGTGGTTCTTGAGAAGATTTTTAAAACATACCATCAAATTTTCATTAATTCCCAATTATCTCCCCTTGAATGAGGGCGTGGCCCTTCATTTGAAGAAACTTGAATCCCCTTTACCCAAGGATGCTTTGTGGCAAGTTTGGTTGAAATTGGCCCAGCGGTTCATGAGAAGAAGTCGAAAATGTGAAAAGTTTACAGACGGACAGACAGACGACGGACAAAATGTGATCAGAAAAACTCACTTGAGCTTTCAGCTCAGGTGAGCTAAAAACGAAATTATTAAGTATAGATAGCATCGTTGATAAGTTTAACAAAGCAAAACGCGAGGATAAGGGTTCCAGTCACGCGTGGTTCATTCCACAGTGAGTGTCTTCAGCGCCAGACAGGGACATGCTGGTCGAAGAATTTTAGAAATGTCCACAAGAAGAACAAAATGCCATTTTAGAAATGTGTTCTTGTATTGCGACGTCCTTATGAAATGAGGGGAATGTAGAAGTAAAAATAGTCACGAAGTAATCAAATTATCCTCGTTTTTGTTTCAACAACCCGTGATTTATGAATATACAGATGGGGCGCTAGGCTTATTCCGGAGGGAATTTTTTAATAAGCAAGGTCTTGACCTTTCAGCGATTCAAGCGATTTGAATTGGATGTCATTGATTTCAATCAAGCAGAAACATCCACCCTCATGATCCTCTATGCATAATGCTACACATCAACAAATTACGTATACCGCTGAACAATTATTGACAATTAACTTCAAACATTAGATTGAAGTATTTGTTTCAGTTGATGTTTTCTCTTTCTCCCTCACTCTTCTTTTTATTTAATAATTTCGTTTATCTTTATTAAATAATTTCGTTTTTCTTTATATATCAATTCTGTTTTTCTTTATATATTAATTCCGTTTTCTTTATAAATTAATTTCGTTTTCCTTTATATATTAATTCCGTTTTTCTTTATATATTAATTTCGTTTCTCTTTATATATTAATTTCGTTTTTCTTTATATATTAATTCCGTTTTTCTTTATATATTAATTTCGTTTTTCTTTATATATTAATTCCGTTTTTCTTTATATATTAATTCCGTTTTTCTTTATATTAAATCCGTTTTTCTTTATATATCAATTCCGTTTTTCTTTATATATTTTTGGTTTTCCTTTATATATTTTTGGTTTTCCTTTATATATTAATTCCGTTTTTCTTTATATATTTTTGGTTTGCACTATTGGGCTTCCGTACTATTTAACATTTTAGTACCCATAATATGTTACTTTTTAGTTGCAAAAGGTCACAAAATAATTTACGCGCATTATTTTGCAAGATTTGTTCAATGATCGTATTAATCAAACTATTTTATGTAAAATAAAATTGTATATATTGCCATGGTTACATCTGATAACATATGATAAAGGTTAAAGTAATTTACCAAAGAGTAAAAATTTAAGTGCAAAAAGGTCTTGACAATTTAATTGTACCCTAGCCCAGTGAGATGCACACTATCCACCTATTTTCTCAGCGATTTTGAGTCACACTATATGAGTACTTATCTAAAATATACTTCTCAAAAATCCTGTATTTAACAAATTTCACGAGTGACATATCTTTATCTCAAAAGTCTGTTAAATAGTACAAACCTGGAACACAATAAATACTTCGAAATCCCAGAAGGCTCATTCGAGATTCGAGGTTCGAAATACGAGATTCGAAATTCGAGTTTCGAGATTCAAGATCCAGATTAACCAATCAAAAGCATATTCTCCAACACATAAGAGGTTTGATCAGGTATATTGGATGGAGTAGTGAGCATCCCCTGAACATGGGTCACACCCGCCAAAACGAATATTGAAAAAAATAATGTGAAAGCTGAGGCCAAAAATGAAAGTAATTCCAATATAGCAATCGAATGAAACAAATATAAACAGGGAAAACAAATGACTTTTTGAAATCCCAAAGGATTCCATCGCAATTATACTTAGACAAGCCTAGTTTTTAAGGTCATATTCACTTTTTATATTATGAGAATGAGTAAAAGATAAACTTGATGTATAGTTAGATTTCGATGGTGGCGAGGGTGTAATAATCACCTGCAGCTAAATATCCTTTTGTCGTGCATGCATACTAAGGTTTTTGATAAATCTCTTCTTGGATGTTTAAAAATGCTACTTTATTCAATTTTAAGGGCAAATAAGAACGGAAGACTTCAAGAAAGACAAGTGAGTAAAACTTAGATAATACATTTTTCAAGAGTTAATAAGTTATCTTCATAAATTCAGTGTTTAAGATTTCCTAAAATCTTCGAAGTCCTTTTCATTAAGGGACACACCTGTATTACTGATTTCATATCTTTTTTTAAAACAATGCAGATTTCTCACTTTTCCTTGAATTTTTCAGGAAAACAATATGCTCCCTTAATAAAGTGGAGAGACACGCACACGTATACGTACTTATATCACAAATCTTTATTATTTATATACTTACTATTCAAAAATGGCTTTTCTTTACAGAAATCAGATTTATCGAAAGCCACAAGTGGATATATAGACATTAATAGGTAAGAAAAGAATTTTTTATCAAGCTATCCATGATATCTATTTTAAAAAATAATAATCAAGTAAAACATTAATGAACATATAAAGTAAAATATGATATTTATATTTCCTATGTATATATTTATTATTTGCCTCCAGCTCTATTTACCGGTCACGGTAGCCTAGTGGTAGAGCGTTCGCTTCGTGATCGGGAGGCCCAGGTTCGATTCTCGATCGCGGCGCCGCGTCATACCTAAGACGTAAACATAGGTAGTGACTGTTCCTTCGCCAAGCGCTCGGCACTAGAAGTGAAAGTCACGGGTCTTTCGGATATGACCTTAAAAACGTAGGTCCCGTGTCACGGGATAAAGAACCCTCACTGCTCAATGGCCCTGAGTACCGAGTATAGGTCTAAATTTGAAGCCCTTCACCGGCATTGGTGACGTCTCCATATGAGTGAGAAATTCTCAAGAGGGACGTTAAACAATATACAATCATTCAATTAAATCCAGCTCTATTTATTACCTGCAAGACTTCCTTTTAAACACTTTGGCTTTCTGAGAATTAATATTTACATTGTTTTCAGTAAATAAAAGTCCACAGATAGGTAATATTACATTAAATTATATAAATTCTGTCTGGTAACAGAGATTTCCAGGACTGGTGAAGGTGTGTGCGTCTTATTTCCCTTTATCTTGCTTTATATGCATCGATAGGTTTCAAATACATATGATATGTCTTCCTTACATGTTAAACATGGCAGAATTATTTTTGTTTTTATCTATAGGGCAAACAATAATAGAGAACTTCAAATAAGACTGGTGAGTATTATTTATTTTGCATGCTTTCTTTTTTAAGTGTTGATAAACTTTCATGACATGCATAATGATTATTTGGAGAGATTTCAATATCCAGCTTCTAAGTACACGGGCCGAAAAGTAATTATTTTTCCTCTCTCAGTCTCACAAATTATATCAATCTTTGAATTTTTTTTTTTTGAAATAAAATTTATACTATCGCTTATTAAAAATAAAAAATCTTTAAATTTTTGTAATTCTGTAAATTTTTGTATCTTCCATGCAACGGAAATTTCTGTAAAATTTGTAATTGTACAATAAAGCAATAGAGTCGTTTTCTTTAAAAAAAAAAGAGTAATTTCAAAATTTTGTAAGACACTTCCATTTATGCTCTATACAATACTTTAGCTTAACATGTACAAATATTTATACAATATATTTTTTTAAAGTTGAATCTTCAAAACATGTTTTGAAAGTCAAGATAAGTGCATTTACTCATCAAATAATATTTCTTAATGTCAAACATCAAGTTTCTGAAATCAGTAGTTCCGTTATATCTTCAGTTTCTAGCCATAGAAAGACTTAGAAATTATAATTAGAAATTAATTCTAATTAGAAATTAGAAAGACGCTTAGACTAAAATCAATTGCGATAAGAAGATACATGTATAAGTGAAAAGTTTGCACTTAAGGTGTTTAGACAAAATGCTCATGCATAGAGGAGAAATTTATCAATAACAAAGGTTGTAACGGGAGCAGATTTTAGGGAGAACTTTCTGCTGCAAATGCTTTTATAGCACCTTTTTACAACATCTAAAAGAAATACTCTAATGGTATTTGGGGAACCCAGGACTCAGAAAAGAAACTAATGAGAAGTTTATACTTTTCAGAACAAAAATGGGCCACTTTATGATAATAGTAAGTATTTAAAAAAAATCACATGGCAAAAAATTATCCTTATTTTTGTGAAACTCTTTTAGTATAAAATCTATAAATCGAGATGTAAATATGATGTTATATATTTTTTTCATTTCTACCAGATCTCTTGCCAGATCTTGACAATCATAAATGTGTATCCATTTCAACAAAGAGACAAATGCCAGCTATATTTAATGTGAGTAAATCTAGTACCTGCTTTAAATGATTTTTTCAATCAATTTTTACTATGATTTTGATTTTAAGATGTTTTCTTATGTGGATGGATTTTTATTTATCATTGCAGGATTTTTCAAACCCTACAGGAAATGTAAGATATTTAATGATTTTTTATAATGACTAAAAAATAAAAAAACATTTTTGATCAAGAAAATAATATAAATATTACTTCATGAATATTGCTTGAAAAAAAAAGCCTGTTAGTTTTATTAGTTGACATCTTATATAACATTTTATATAAAAAATCATAATTCATGTTGCTGAGAGAAAACTTCACGAGACTCATAATTATCATTAAAAGAATTACTTTCAACAAATGTTACGAGTCTCTATTGCAGTTATGAAAATCATACTTAAAGAAGAATTTGAATTATTATCAATAGAGAACATGTGTGTGTTTGTAAATAATATTAAGACATTCATCGTCAGATTTTACGGACTCATGCTTCTACATTTGTAGGGTCATTTAATGAACAATTTCAGACTTGGACTTTCAAATGTGAGTTTCTTCTTACATTTATAGATTTAAACTTCAAATTGATAAGAATTAAAGAAAAAGATCTAATAAATTTGTTGTATATCAACAGAATATAATTACTACTTTCTTTGCCTATATAATTTCAGCAATCAAAACACACCCACATTTTCGATGCAGAAAGTTCTATCCCATGTTATAAGGTATTTTAACATATAAATGTTTAATTTTCCATTTTGTTTATCTGGGGGTTTTTCTGTTTATGTATTTCAACATTTTTAGATTTACATTTTGTATTTCTAAGGAGAATTTGAAAAACAAGCGAATGTGTGTCAAGATGAGCAAGGTTAGAATATTCATCACAGCAGTAACGATTGCGGGACTAGCACTATTGCTCATATATTTTGTCATTGGCCAAGTTACGATAGACGACTTGAATGAAAATGTTCGGACGCAAACCACTTTTTTAAAAGGTAAGCAAATTATACAATGATGTGCAATAACATCATTGGCATGTCAGGTGTTGGGTCGATAGTACTTTGCACGGAGGTAGCCAATTCTTGCTACCAACCTCCCAATATAATGTAGGGAAAACTGTCACATGTATTTCTACTCATTCTTTGCAATTTATTTTTATCCAATGAATAAATTCTAGGAAGCGGTGCTCCTGTTGTTTGTATATTTCGATAATTATACCCATATTATGGGAAAACCAAACTTTAACGACCTTTTCCCTTATCCAAATGTCAGTTTCTTCCTTTTTATGAACTTGGTTATCGATATTTAAGAGAAAATTTGACGATTTTAATCAGTTGTTAAACAGTGTATGTAAAATGATAATAGTTATTGATCTGCACTTTTTCTAGTTAAAATTAAGTCAAATCAATAACACCCCCTCCCCCTCAAAAAAAACTATTCGTTGGCCATTATCTTTATGTGATTGTTTGAAGTCTATTGCGCTTCATTTTGTGGGAATCTCCCGCAATTTTTTATTTTGAAATTATGATACAAATTTGATTTCTAATTTTCCTATAACTATTTGACAGCTTGTCGTCTTTTCTTGCAATGTAAACTGACACAGGTTCCCCGAGTTTCTTGGTTGTCTTTTTCATATGAATAAGTCGCTTACGTGACGCAGTGGTTAGAGCGTCTGCTCTGAGTGGAAAAGTAAGGAGTTAAATTATAAGGCAGAGGTCCCATGTTACAGTAGTTGCTGGCACGGGCTACTCAATGGTGAAGTATAGGTAAAAATTTGCTGCCCCCCACTGGCAATAGGTGACGTCTTTTTCATGTGAGTGAAAAATTCTCGAGAGGGAGTTTAACAACAGACACATAACAAAAACAAATTATATTAATAACTTTATATGGATTAAAATATTTATAAAGCACATCTTTAAAAATTTTAGGCATTCTTATAGTAATATGGTTCTCTTTTTTAACCCTTTTTCTTTGCCATGGTGGTCTATTGTTTGTTGTGATGCATTCATGAATCGTTAAGTATTTGGAATTAAACAAATTTATTTCTAAAAACTTCAGTAAGTACATGTATCTGACAATTCAAGGAAGATGACCATAAAATTTCTATCCTGTGGTATTTATATAGATACATTAAATCAATCTTTAATATGATGTAACGGAACACAAATTTTTCAAGGAAAAAAAAAGAAATGCCTATCAATACTGAAGAGATATTTCTGCTAGTCTTTAGAAATATTCTCCAGATCGGTCCAAACCATGCCAATGAAAGCTAAAGTTTACTGGACAAAATTTAATCTTTTCACATTTTGAGACTTGAACATACACTTGCACTTCATTCAGCGCACTCTCTAATAAAATATTCTTTGCAAGAAAAAGTGGACGTGTTGAAGAAGGATAATGAAAACTAACATTAACGATTAGAAGTCTTAATCTTGGTAATTGTTTGATGCTCATCTTTATGGCGTAATTACCTCTTTTCTTTTTTCTTTATTGTAGACAATGACAACTCATTAGGAATACTTCTTGAGAATCAACAAAAAGAAGTCGAAAAAACAAGTGAAGTTATAAATGTCACCGATATGAGTCTAGTGTCAAATTCAGATTTGACAGCCAATTTACTTTTATTATCAAACAAAACAAAAAGATCCTTCAAAGAAATTGGAGAAATGATAGAAACAATGTCGATTAGAACAAATACCTCAATCTATGAAATAGGAAACATGGTTGAAGCATCATTTAACCAATTACAATCATCTTCAGAGGACATAGCAAACACAATGCAAATATTTTCTAACCATACAAAAATGTCGAATTCAGATGTGAGGGACTTAATAAAAGAAGAAGCCAATAAAACCAAAACATACTTAGAAGACATGGTGAAAGATTTATTTAAAAATCTTGAAGACAAATTGATAGCTGTCATCGAAAGGAGAAATGGGGGTGTGTTCTTTTCTATGATTAAAGGTTTCTTTATATGCCAACATATTTTTAAAGTAAATATTCGGCATAATTTTTTACTATCGACTTTAAAATCTTTTTTTCATTTTATAACAAACTATTTAAAAATATCATAGATTGAAAACATTCAAAGGTTTAAAAAGAACTCAAGGTTTCGGTATAATTATCTTTTTAATTTGTATTTCAGGTGGCTGTGTAAATAACAGTTTAAACGTCACTACCGGTGAATGCGTAGACAGCTGTTTGAGAGTCGATAACGGGGATTACCAGTCGTGTCACACTTGTCACGGCTACGTGACGTGTGCAAATAATTATATATACCATAGAAATTGTTCCCAGCCTCATCATGTTTGGGATGATAGTAAACATCATTGTTCAGAGCAAAGTACAACATGCAACCCATCTGACTTCTCGTGATACAAATAATGTATTTTATTTTATTACCAGATCATGACCATTTCTCTGTCTCGATCATGATATAGAAACTAAATAAGCCGTCATTAATATAACAAGCCATTTTTATCTTGCATTAGTATAAAAGTGTACGTATATTTATGAGATATACAAATGTATACCTGATTATATGAATAACTTTTTTTCTTTGGTGACCGTCGTTAAGATATAGTTCTTATTGTTACAGTAAAAAATTACCTTTTTTTATATGGTACGAGATGGAAAGCATCGTACTCATACTTCAAAAATTCCTTTCATAGTATTATGAACGTGTTTTCATTCGAAATCACTTCTGATTTTTTTTTTTTGGTTTGTACATATTGGTTGTTAAAGAAAATTCTTAATAAAATTTGACACTTATACAATGCAAATTACTAATTTTTCAGGGCTGCTGGATAATTACTGAAATTTCGTATCGCGACTGCGATACGTAAAGTACAATATTTTCAACAAAAATTTATAGGGTTTCTTATAATATTAACTCTAATATACTTACAGAATGTACATATTAAATATAATATGCAATCATATGCAATGAAATAAATATTTTGTTGATTCAATTACAGGTATACACTTAAATACACATACATGTATACACCAGCTTCATTATATTTAGTGTTTGGCTTAATCAAAATATAATATTTTTTATCCATGTATTTTAATGCTATAATTCTATGCCCAATCAATTTGTTGGTATATCAGTATGATAAAACATATCTCAATAAGATATATATAATTTATTTTGTGATCATCTTTCAATAAGATAATTATTTATACCAAGAAGACAGAATCACTCATGAAGCTATCATTTCACCAACTTCTGTCACTTTATTGCATTCGAAGATCATGATTTCAATATGCACACATGATGCAAGGAACGAAACAAGACTATCCATACAACTTATGGCAGGGGTATTATTGGCTTGAGAGCTACTCAAAGGATTTTAAATATTTGACCCATATTGAAAAAAAGACGTATAGCAGCTGAAAAAATGACTTAAAACCACAAGCTAATATTTTTAAAAATGGATAATTAAAGCTATTGATTAATGTATAAACAGTGTTTATTTTTATCCAATTTTGAAATCCTTTTATTATTATCATTTTATTTTATTTACAAAGACGATAATAGAGAAGAAAAGTTTCAGTATCTGCTGAAATACAAAAAAATATAAAGGAACTTATTGTTCAATTCATAATTAAAATCGATTTTCAAGTGAACCCATGGATATCAGAAATTACATTATTTTGACAGAAAATCAATACAAAACAGTCTTGCTAGAAATGAGTAAAGGCAATAAAGATAAAATATATTGCAATGTTTTTAACCATTGTCAAAGGAGGCAATAAATTTACAACGAATAAGATATTGTTTCAATACAAATTATCCGGCCCTGTATTTTTTAAAATATTGTATTTCTATCCTTGACTTTTATGGAACTAAGAAAAAGAATTATTAGCTGTTAATTATACCACCGTATTATACATACTATTATCCTTGAGAAATAGAATGTTATTATATATTCTATCACATTTCCCCAAGATTCTGTACGAAAGCCCAGAAGGCTCATTCGAGATTCGAGATTCGAAATACGAGATTCGAAATTCGAGATTCGAAATTCGAGTTTCGAGATTCAAGATCTAAAATAATCAATCAAAAGGCGGTTTGAGATTCAATTACTCCCCTTTATTATTTTTTACTATCAAGAAATCGTTGAGTATTTCAATACCGAGGAGGTCATTTGATTAAATTACAACGCAAGAAAAAGTGTTATATATTATCAAAACGAAATTTAAAGAAATATTAGATTTTGGTCTGCAAGATATGCTTAATTAATTTATAATAGCTTCTTAAATGTCATAAGAGATTTTTTTAAAGAATATATATATTTCAAGTTATCTACTTTGGATACAGGGTTGTTGACATGATAGTAACCTTAAAATAGATTAACAGTACATACATCCCCCCTTTTTTGCAAACACCTTAAAATAGATTAACAGTACATACATGCCCCCTTTTTTCCAAACATATTTTTTTTACTATTGAAAATGTTCATCGAAAGGTCGGTTGCCAAGTATGGAAGACCGTTGGTGCCACGTACGAAAAATATTTTATCTGGCGGCCGCCAGATATTAAGTGGCGGCCGTCACTTATTATTTGGCGGCCGCCACATAATTTATATGGCGGCCGCCACTTATTATTCGGCGGCCGCCACTTATATATCTGGCGGTCGCCACTTATTATTTGGCGGCCGCCACATAAATTATTTTGTGAAATGTAAGTGTTATTGTGTCTTTATTGGGTTAAGATATGATGGATGTTGACAAAGCCGCTGCTTATTGATAAAAAGGTTAATGATAAAAAAGAATTCTTAAATATTGGAACACCATTATTGGAAATCCAGAATGCAAAACTTTATTTAATTCTCAAATCAAATATTAATCTGCTCTATGCAAAAACATATCTACTAGAAGTGTGGTTTGGAGTGTCGGGTCCTAATAATATCTTACAAGTTTAATTGATTTTCACACTCTATCCACCTCTGAAATAACACGTTAAAACATGCGCGCGCATCAGGTAGCCAAATGTTATCTGGCGGACGCCAGATAAAGTATGTGGCGGCCGCCAAATATTAGGTAGCGGCCGCTAAATAAATTATGTGGCGGCCGCCAAATATTATGTAGCGGCCGCCAGATAAATATTTGGCGGCCGCCAGATATTATGTAGCGGCCGCCAGATAAATATATGGCGGCCGCCATATAAATTATGTGGCGGCCGCCATATAAATTTTTTGGCGGCCGCCATATATTAAGTGGCGGCCGCCAGATATATAAGTGGCGGCCGCCACTTATTATTTGGCGGCCGCCACATAATTATCTGGTGGCCGCCAGATATATAAGTGGTGGCCGCCAAATAATAAGTGGCGGCCGCCAGATAAAATATTTTTCGTACGTGGCACCAACGGGCTTCCGTAGCCAAGCCCCCCCTCCCCACGTTATGGTAAAGTGGTGCAGTATAGTCAAAGAAGTTTATGTGGTAGTGTATCAAAAGAAATTAGTTCGAAATAAGTTCGATCCCCCCCCGCCCCCTTTCACACCCAGAAATAGGATTGTCGGGTTTGGACACATTTTTTCTGTCAGTTTTTTTTTTCAGGTTTGAAATGATATTTTTGCCCCCCCCCCCCTTTCCCCCCACCCCACTTTCAAAATCGATGCGTCGTCTCTGTAATAATTAGTACTACGGGTTTCAAAGTGGACTGTGTTCGTGACACGGTATTAGAAAGTGGCCAGTGACCAAGTTTATGAAACCAATAAACAGCCCCTTAAATACGGATGGCTGAAACATGCCTGCTTAATAAAGATAATGACCCACTGGGAATAATAAATTAAAAAAAAATCATTGTTAATCTCCCTATCCCCACCCCAATCTCGAAAAATAGGGGTTATCATTGTAATTGCATGGAAGTTATTTTTGAATGGACATAAGCATAAAGTTACTGTTTTCTATATAGTATATTATATCGGAAAAATATTACGGGAATGGCCAAGTGGAAAGGGGGGGGGGGGGCAAATGTGTTGTTATCAACATTCATTGTCAATCTTGCGATATCTTGCGATGCATAGATACAATAAATATATATTCGATAATTATTTAAAAGGAAACCGCTCGGGTCTCGCCCGACTTGATTAAAGACTCAAATATACTAGTAAAACCATAATGCTCATTTCATTGGGGGGGAGGGGGGGGGGGGGCAGCCATACATTTTCAGTTTTCAACTACCAAAAATTTCTTGACAACCAAAAACAAAGCAAAAAAAGTCATCAGATGTTTTTTATTGAGGGGGCACAAACTTGAGGGGCACAAGCATATAGTAGTTATGATTTCTATAGTATTTTTATATTTATTAATATATATATTAATATAGAAAATTAAGGGGGGGGGAGGCACAATGTAAAGAAATTTACCCTCATTACTATTTCATATAAATAGTATCTCCCTCATCAATGTTCTTATTAGAAAAAATGTCGATTTAAGAATTGCGCAATTGAACGATAAGACCATATAATATCCTATTTACGTATCTATTGTTTTGTTTAATTAGGAAAAATAGGAATTTATATATATTTTCTATAATGTAACCTAAAATTCCTTTTTATTTCGTTCTAATACATATATCTTTTTTTTCTTGCATTATCATTTAAGCAAATGACCCATTAGATATGAATATATTCAACGATTTCTTGATAGTAAAACATAATAAAGGGGAGTAATCAAAATTGAACCTGATTGTCTTTTGATTGGTTAATTTGGATCTTGAATCTCGAAACTCGAATTTCGAATTTCGAATTTCGAATCTCGTATTTCGAATCTCGAATGAGCCTTCTGGGCTTTCGTAATTTTGTCATTATTTTTTTCACCAGAAAGGTGAGGGAGGGGTGAGGGAAAGTGGTTTCCATGTAGGAAGTTTTTGACATTTAAGAATAAAAAAAGCGCAAACCAAAATAAAAAATATAAACCCGAAGTTCAGATCTGATAAACCTTTGTCATAAAAACCCCGAATTTCCGTCAGATTTGCCCCCCCCCCCAAAAAAAAAAGAACAGGAAAATAAAGTGAAAATTGGAAAATGTATGGAATGCCATATACGACAGCCAACTGCTGACTGCTTACTGCCAACTGTGAGTTGCTTACTGCCTTCTGCCACACATATTTGAATAAATTTTATATTTGTATCGATATTTATATGAATTTTTGCCAAAAAAGGGGGGGGGGGGAAAGGCACGGATCTAGGACATTTTTTCCAAGGGGGTCACCCTGGTAATTGAATAAAATGATCAATATGTTTTATCTTTTGTATTATTCAATATATGCGGTTGATAAAGTACTTTGTTTATTTTTTTATTTGTTTTCCTATTTGAAATAGGTAACAAAATGACTATTTTCTGCTTTTAATCTTTTAAGAAGCCCCCCCCCCTCCCCCGGAGATAACAAAACCTTTGAAGAGAGAATAATAATAAAAAAGATTTGTCGTTTCGCAGAGAAAGATTTTTGAAAATAAATTTCCGTTTTCCATTACTTCTATGGTTAAAAATTTCCTCAAATTAAAGATGTATATCTCTGTGTGTTATAATGTTTCACATGCATAGATCGGGGGGGGGGGGTAAAATTTGTACTGTCATACGTTAAATAAACTAAACGAACTACCGGTGTAACTGATCTTGTACCCTCCACTGAGAAAACACCGATCAAACATTTATATCTCTGTGTTTGTACAAATAAAATATGTTTTACATGATAGATCTAGAGAGAGGGGTCCGGAACACCCCTCTAAAATTTGTAAAGTTATTTAATGCACAAACTAAACCAACTAAAAGTTATTAAATGTATAAAATAAATCAACTAAATGGGACCTTAGGAACCCCCCCCCCTCCCCAACCGAAAATGTGGATTCGTGTTAAGTTGGTATGAAATGTTATACACATGAAGGTATGAAGCATAAGAACCCCCTCTCCCCGGCCGAAATAAATTTTCACATTTAGGAAAGGACTTTACGTATTTTTTTCTTGTCAAGAAATTTCTGGGTTGGATTTTTTTTTTTACCAGAGTGACCCTCTCGGAAAAAATGTCCTATAGATCTGCACCCTTTTTTAAAATTTACATGAATATCAATATAAAAAT